CAACGTGGGCCCCACGGGCATGTCCCAGAATTTGGTATCTGCTGACTGATGTTTCAGCTTCTCAAGAGCTTGCATTCATGGTTTGAAAAAGTCACCCAACTGCTTAGGTTCAAGTCTCTTCCTGCATCTGTCAAGTGGAGAAACCAAGCCTGCTTTAGGCTAAGTAAGGGATGGGGAGTCTCACTCAGTCAGCACTTCCTACTGCTCATTGCATTCCAGGATGCACGATGAGGCCGAGCAGGGCCCTCGGGCCTAGTGGGCAATTCTCCTCAGTGCCAACCGGACACCAAATAAGCCTAAATGCACCACCTCCTCATTCCCACTGCCACTACTCTATCTTCCCCCACCCTCCTTCATGAACATGGCAGTGGCCTTCTAGCTGACCTCCTGCCTTCCACTCTTTTCTCTCATGGTCACATGCTGCAGGGAACCAGTCACCTCTGTCTTAGGGAAACTACACTGGTGCTGCGAGGGGGGTACCTTAGGAAGAATGAGGAAGAGGAGACCCAGAGTGAATCCCTCATCCCTAGGGTGGCCCACAGAAGCCAGAAGAATCTTCCTTAAATACAAATCTGATCCCATTACTCTCTTGCTTTAAACACCTCAAAAAAAAAATACACTGAGCCCCCCATGAACTGGTGCCCACCTCCCCTCACCTCCCAAATCTCTCCCCCTTGTTCAGTGTGCCCAGCCCACCTACTTTCCTGCCTATTCCTCCAACTCCCTCAATGCCTGGCCACATACTATACATTCGGCCCCTACTCCTTTGACCACCCAACCTCCAGGTCTCAGGCAAGGCTCCTTCCTCAGGAGGACATCGCTGATCAGCCTCCATCACAGTTAGGTCTCTGGAGTCCTATCCTCTCTCACATCACAGCTCTGTAATCTTTCCCTAATAGCCCTTCTTTTAGCTCGTGTCTCTGTGTGTCTGTTTGTATGATGGCTTGTATGAAGTCCCTCGTCCCCACTGGACTGGCCAATGAAAGCAGTGGCTAGGCCTGGCTTTTTATGCTTGGGTATCCATAGCCTAGCACAGTGCCTGGCACATAGAAGATACCTCACAAGTTGTGCTGGATGAGTGAGTGAGTGAGTAAGTGGGTAAATAGATACCTTCATGGGGATAAGTAAAACCATAGCTATAATTATGGGCAGCTACTGACGGCGCCCAGGAGAGCTGCCTTCTCAGCTGGGTTTAGGAAGATGAGTACTGGCTTAACAGACAGGCAAGAGGTGACAAGGCCATTCTAGGTATAGGGAAGAAGCATGAACCACCCTGGAAGGTGTAGGAAACTCTAAGGCAGGGTTTCTCAACCTTGGCATTGTGCAGTGTAGAGAATTTGATTAGAGTGCTAGGTGGGAAGCTAGCCCATCTCTCTCCTGACGCTGGCAGCAATCCTTCCAGTAGGCAGGGCGGGAGCATTGGAGGCTAGGATGTTCTCTCTGGGGGATCACACCCAGCCCCCACCAGCTGGTCTAGGAAGACTAAGGAGGAACGTGGCCATGGATGAGAGGTGTAGAGCTGGAGAAAGCACTCTTGGAGATGGGAGGCTTCTTGTTATTGAGGGCAGCACAGTGCAGAGGGAAAATTGGGGTTTCCGGTGCACTTGGGCAAGCCACTCCATTGATGTGAGCCTCAATTTCCCCACCAGTGAAATGGGTGCACAAAAATCCCCCTCATAGGACCATTGAGAAGATTAACTGAAGCAACAGATATGAATGCTTTGTGTGGTCCATTCCCAGCCCAGCGCAAGGGCTTCAGACATGCTCATTTCTCCATTTGGCCTCCAAAAGCTTCCCCCAACCCTGAAACTCACAGACTCCATACTAAAGTGCATTTAGTGTGCAAATCCAAAGATTATTACCAGTATCACACACCAAGCACACTCTGTATTTTACATTTTCAAAAAAACCCCACATGATTTAATAGTGGGGTCAAATATACTTCTTACTAATGAACATTTTGGCTTCAAACACTCACCATCTGACTGGAACCTAACCGAAGAGTGTGTCAGGACTCACATACCCTTCCCTACAGTCCTGTGACCTGCATCCCAATATTATCATCCCCACTTCACAACAAGGAGGCTGAGGCCATATAGGAAACTTGCTTCAAGTCATCAGCCAAGGTAAAATAGTAAGAGGGGGGCAGAGATGGGCGCCCTCCTAGAGAGGTAGCTTCAGAGTCTGTGTTGTTAGCTAAACATTTGGAGGACCCATTTGGCTTCTTGAGTACAATTCACTTCTAACACATCTGTTCTAATGTCAGGGGAAAACTTGTCTACTCTTGTAAATATTAGAAAATCAAAATACTACACAGAAAACTGCTACTACCATTTCCCACTCAGAGAAGAGTAGACAGAGGCCTGAGGGAGGAAAAACAAGTTACACGAGTCACACTGTGGGCTGGCAACTGAATTTGAGCTAAAGCCCAAGTCTGTGGACTCCCAGGCCAGCTGGCTTCCTTGTTCCTGCTGAAGTGGAAGTCTCTGGAACAACACTGCCTGGGTTCTGGGTTCTCTAGACATCACCAGGATGCTTACTATATGCTTTGGGAAGTTACTTTACCATTCCATTTCTGAGTTTTGTCATCTTTAAAAATTGGATTAAAATAGCAACTTCTTTATTGAGTCCTATTAACTATTGACAGGGTGAGAGAAAAGTGTGCATGTGTGTGTGTGTGTGTGTGTACACATGCGCATGCTTTGGGGGTACACGCACGCATGGACATTTGTCTTAGAACAGAATCTAGTATTTAGGAAGCACTTGAAAATGGTCATTATTATTCTTTTATGGTTATTTTTGTGCCAGGCACTTGACATATGAGCCTGTATCTAACTTTGTTCTGACCATTGTGAGGTAAGGGTGATCCCCCTTCACAAAGGAGGAAATGGAGGTGCCTGGTAGGAAGACTTGGTCATGAACATCAGAAAGAGTCTGTAATGTGCCCCTGTGAGGATGTGCCCCTGTAGGGAATTGCATCTTTTGGGATGCATTGCTTTCCCTTTCCATGCGTGCAGGTCCCCCGTTTGTTTGTCCTTCAGGCTTTGGGACACACTTTTTGTTCATCTGAACTAACAACTCCATGGTTATTGTGTCTTTTCCTCTCTGAAGAAGAGAAGGGAGCCCTTGAAGGCAAAAAGGTGGGATGGGAGAGTGAGGAGAGACAGAGGCCGTGGTATGAGGATGACTTGCCGTGGGTCTAGGGATGGTGAGAAGGGTGATCTCACCACAGTCCCTTTTCCTTGCATCCTTTTTAGGGACATGCAGATCTTCCAGGCGGTAGCAGTGGCAGAAGGGTGAAGAATCTTCCTGAAGCCTCACAAGACTTCAAGAAAATATCCCCTTGCTCCTTTCCAATTTCCATTATATCTGGGTTCAAATTCTAGCATTGCCACTTACCCCTTCTGTCAGCTGGAGTAACTAACCAAATTCCTCTGATCCTTCACCTTTTCACCTATAAATTTGAGTGCATGATCCCTGACTCCACAGGGAAGTGTGCACCGAGGGCAGCAGTTCTTGACTTTGGCTGCACACATGAGTCACCTGGGGGAATTTAATTAATACTGATGCCTGGGCCTCGCCCCCAGCTTCTGATATAATTGTTCTGGGGTGCAGCCTAGATATCAAGATTTTCAAAGCCTCCCCCAGGTGATTTCTAATATGCAGCCCCAAACCGAGAGCCTCTGCTATCCATGTAGCAGATACCTAATTAATACTATTCTTTCACATTTCTTTAGTGTTAAGTGCCTGTTCACATTTTATTTTTAAAAGCCTTATCAGCCTCACAGGATGGCTCAAGGATTCTTTATTTCTGCCACCCCCATGCGCATTCTCATACTGACAGCCTCTGCACTTTCAAAACAGATGACTCAACCCCCAGCCAATCAGCCAGGCCCTTTATCTAGCTTTGGCTCCTCTTCTGTTCATTGGATAGATCCAATTGGTTAAGACACACAATGCCCTCCTGGAGATGCCAATGAGAAAATCCAACAAATGGAATGATCCATTGTTTGCTCTTCAGCCAGGGAACTCCATCATCCACCTCCAAATCCATCTCTTACAGTGTGCAAAAGCTCACATAGAAAACCCCAAGTTCTCTCAACTGGATCTTAAACAATAATGTTTCTCCCAGCTCTGCCCATGGGATAACTTTTGTATCAGTGCCCACCTTTATATAAGTGCCCACCTCCATTCTTCATGGACTACTCCCATGTCAGGAGATGTGCCATCAGCCACTCATTCATTGCCAGCCACGCCTCCCCGAAGACGCTCTACACTAGTCATGCTATATCTCAAAAGCTCTCCATGCTTTAATATGTCTTAAATGTCTTTTCCTCCTATGGTCTATCTGGAAGGTTTTTACTCACCTTTACAAGCCAAATTCAAATGTTCTCTTCTGCAGTTTACCTAACCTGTCCTTCTAGTCCCCGCCCACCCCTAGAGAATTTAATTGTTTCCACCCCTGTGCTCTCATAACCTGTGAAATTCTCAGGTATAGCAGTTACCTTGATGCATTATATTAAGCATTGCACTAGATAGGGATTTTGTAATTTGCCTTTTCATAACCAACTTGTAGCACAGGGATAGGGCCTTAGCAGGTGCAGACTAAATGCTCGTTGGACTGTATCCAATTCTCTGTCCTCAAATCTATACCAGTGAATTTTTGAAACACCTCCCCCCGATAATCAAGACAATTTTCTCTGTCACCATCCACAAGCTTGTTAATATTCATATGCTATGATAAAACTTCAAAAAAGAAAGATTAATTTTCTTGCCCATGTATGTATATGTGAACAAAAAAATGAGTAAACACTTACCACAAACCTGAAATAACACAAGAGATGTCATGTCTCTGACAGGAATGACTACATTTTACAAGAAAAGGGACATATTTGGCTGAGGGAATGAAAGGGTTTGGAGAGGTGGAATTTTTTTGCTGCTTTATTTCCTGAGATGGGGGGAGCATGAGGGACTGATGGGGAGAAGAGCAACTGCTTTACCTTTTCCGGAGCAGGCAGCTGTAAGTGGTTAACCTCCAAGGGAGTGATGAGAGGGACGGTCTGGAAGCCATCCTCAACCGAAGGCGGCTTGGTTCCCTTCTCACTGGGGTTACTGTTCAGCTTCACCATCCTTACGCCTTTCTTCCCAGACCTAAGGCAAACAGTGGGGTTCTAGTTATAGTGGGAGGTGAAGCAGGGAAAGAGAGGGCTGGCTGACGACAGAGAAAACAGCAGTGTCCTAAACAGTTCCACTCGGCTTTCAGTGTAGAGATCAGTCTTCTATCTATCTTCTGCTAGATTTCATGACATGATTCTCATTATCCAGCAAAACTTCTCTAATCATCAAAATATCCCACCTGCCCATGGGTTCAACAGCCCCCAAATTCAGGAAAAGTCAAGGAAATCCCAGACTTACACAAACAATATACAAGCTTTAAAAAAAAAAAAATCCAAAACACTAGAACTAATACAGTCATATAATCTCAGTGAAAAGCTTATTCTTACTGCAAAATTAAATCCTCTTATTCTGGGTCACCCTGCAGTATGATAAATTTCACCTTACCACCACACCTTACCACTTTGCTTTTTTATTATGTTGGCTTTTCTTCAGCAATCTCCCTACACCACAATAAATACATTCAATGTCTCCATGTGTACTGTACCATTTCACATGATACATAGGTTGTACAGGAGATACAATTTCCTAAAACAAAAAAAGGCTGGCTTGAACATGCTTCTGTTATTCAGCCATGGAATGCCTCCATTTCCTCAATAGCAAAGGGCCATTTTTTTTTTTTTTTGCTTCCATGGAAAGTTAGCAACCCCCGTATTGCAAGATTGCCAACTAAATAAACAAATCACATTTATTTCTCTCAAGCTTCCTTGGAAGTCAAACGGTGCTCCCACCCCACCCCTAGAAAACCAGACCACTGAATTTCTTTTGCCAATCTTGCTGGTGGAACATTATTAGACCAAATAGGATTGTTGTGGAGATGAAAGGGATGGTAAAGGGTCGGAGGATATTGAGGAGTGGTTATAACAAAAACAAATGCCTACTTACTGTGATGCACTCTTGGGGGGTCAGAGCAGATTCAAGCCAATTTGAAGAGGAGGAGGACGGCCAGGAGTCCTCCCTCCTCAGCCCGAGCTTGTGGTGCTGAAAGGACAGCGCCTTGCCTGTGTCTGGATTGGGAGTTTCTGAGAGCGAGGCGCCAGCGAGAGGGGAAGAGCTCCTGGCAGCTGCCTGCCTGCTCCCTCGCTCGCGCCCCCTCCCACCGGGGAACGGGCTCCCACACCATCTGTCATCTGGCACCACCTGCTGTTTCTCATGCATGGCCACAACCAGGGCATGGGACAAAATTGGTTTCAAGAAAGTGGGAGGGATTCTGGACATCATCATAATAATAACCATATAATAAGCAACCGTTGAGCCTTTAGAAAAACAGAACAAGGAGACCTATTCATTAGAAGGGATCACTTTTAAAAACCTTCCAGAGCAATATTATGAAACCCAAAATAGTTCAGGACCTGCACTGTGCTCTGACCTGTAGTAAGGAGTGAAGGGAAACTTACATTTATTATTTCCCATGCAGTGGGCACTTTTCCAGGATCTTTCAGACTATTTCCCTCATTTGCAAAATGTGACGGGGTTAGTGTGAGGTGGGAAGGTGATAACAACAGGAAAGCAGCTCAGAGCCGGGCACATGGCAAGCACTGCTTGTGAGAAGCTACTATTCTCATAGTGCTACTGTAAGTAATCACACAGGTCAGCTAAGGTCGCACAGCTGGTAGAGCACCAGGAGCTGGAACTTGAGCCCTGATCCAAGGCCACTGATGTTTGCATGCGATCCACAACTTCGTATAGCTTCCAGGTTGTGTCTGGAATCAGGGAAGGCGAAGTCCTAGTATTAGCTCTATGAAGTTCTGGCTGCGGAGATCTTGGACATTTTGTATTCCCTCTGCAAGCCTCCATTCCTTTATCTATGTTGTGGGAATAATAATACCTCCTTTGCAGGGTGATTGTGAATAAGATGAGACGTCCTCAAGGAAACCTCTTCTAGCTCAGGGACAAGGTTCTGAATGGCTGAATTACTTCATCTCTGGGGATTGCTCTTACACTCTTAGAATCCCCTGAGATTAAGACTATTATCACGGATTTCTCCTCACTGTGGTTCAGATCACGTTTGGTCACTTACCCCAGCTGCAGTGGTGTTTATGATGCACGTCATGAGGTCCAGTGGTCTTGGCATTAGTAATAGCATCCCCTTTCACTTTCAAAAATATCCTGCTTCCCATGATAAATGGTTTGGTCACTTTAATTAGTGCTCACATGATAAGCATACACTCTACTACCTACAAGGCCAAGAGAAAACATGCATGTCATCTGTATTGTTCAGTAATGAAATGGATATGTGTGTGCATCTATGCATGTGTGTGTGCAAAGAGAGACGTTTCTAAGACAGGAAGGTCTGTAGCATATCAGAGCTGCACAGGGTACTATTAAAAGAAGTATGCATATATATGAGAGGAAGTCACTCTAATATTGGTTTCTCACTTTCTCCTTTCCAAAGACCAAGATGATTTTCAGGTGCAAGCATCCTGTGGGGACAACACAATGTAGATATCCACATGGAGTCACTTGTGAACATTTGTGTCTGATCTGATTATTGCTGTCTCCAAAGGGAAAAAAATAAAAGCCCCTTTAACACAGCTTATGATTGTTTCACAAGCAGGAATCACACCTTTAATAACTCCAAGCCAGAGGTCCTAACAGTTTAGTAAATGGTCCAAGAGAAGCGCCTGTGTCATGGCAATGTGAAATCCAGGCTTCCTGGTATGTGATGCCAGGAGAGAGGCTGCAGGAAGAAACAGGGGGCCAGAGTGATGTGGGAAAGCCCCTTATGGGAGAATGATACTGAGAGGTGCTTAATATAATAGACTCTCATTCTCCTGTTGAGTTCTGGGAGATATGCTTGACAGTTGAAAACAAAATAGGACATTTTTAGGAGGTTTTCCATGTGTGTAGATGTGATATATAGGATAACGGCAACACGAAGAGGAGAGGATAAAGGGACCACTACAGTGGTAACATTTCTATACTCTAAGTGGTAAAGCATTGATTCCCACTAAACAGTGAAAAGTTAGCTATGTCTATTTTAATCCCCAGAATAACCAAAAATATACAAAGAAAAGGTCAAAATTGCAACAAAGAAATATAAATGGAATACTAAGAAAAAAATCAAATAACCCAAAAAAGGTAGGGGAAAAAAAAAACGAGAACAACAAAAACAAAGGAAACAAGCAGAAAACATAATGAAATCATAGACTCAAAGCCAACCATAGCATTATCATCCCAAGTTCATAGTTTACATTAGAGCTCACTCTTGTTGTACATTCTATGAATTTGGACAAATGTATAATGACATGTATCCACCATTAGGCTATCATACAGAATAGTCTCACTGCCCTAAAAATCTTGTGTGCGCCACCTCTTTATCCCTCCCTCTCTTCCCTAATCATTAACAACTACTGGTCTTTTTACTGTCTCCATAGTTCTGCCTTTCCAGAATGTCACATAGTTGGAATTATATAGTAACTTGCCTTTCAGGTAGCCTTTTACATAGTAAAATGCATTTACAGGTCCTCCATCTCTTTTCATGGTCTGCTAGATCATCCTTTTATTTTTTTAGCACCGAGGAAGTTTCCATTGTCTGGGTGTACCACAGTTTATCCACTCACCTACTAACGAACATTGTGGTTGCCTCCACATTTTGGCAATTATGAATGTAGATGCTGTAAACATTTGTGTGCAGGTTTTTGTGGACATAAGTTTTTTTCTCCTTTAGGTAAAAACCAAGGAGTGTAATTCCTGGATCATATGATAAGGGTATGTTTAGTTTTGTAGGACACTGCCAAACCATCTTCCAAAGTGTTTGTACCATTGTGCATTCCCAAGAGCAATAAGAATTCTGGTTATTCCATATCCTTGCCAACATTTGGTGATTTCAAGACTCTTGAATTTGGCCATTTTAATAGGTATGGAGTAGCTTCCCATTGTTGTTTAATTTACATCTCCATGCTGACATATGATGTGGAATATCTCGTGATTATTTGCCATCTATCTATCCTCTTTAGTTAAGTGTCTATTAAGATCTTGGCTCACTTTTAAATTAGATTATTTTCTTATTGTTGAGTTTTAAGAATTCTTGTGTATTTTGGATAACAGTCCCACATCAAAAATGCTTTTTGCAAATATTTTCTCCCAGTCTGTGACTAATCTTTTCATCCTCTTGACAATATCTTCTGCAGAGTGGAATTTTTTAATGTTGATTAAATTCAACTTATCAATTATTTCTTCCCTAGTTCATACCTTTGATGTTGTACCTAAAACACCACCACCAAATCCAAAGTTATCTGGATTTTCTCCAATGCTATCTTCCAGGGACTTTATAGTTTTACATTTTACATTTAAGTCTGTGATCCATGTCGAGTTAATCTATGTGAAATGTGTAAGTTCTGCTCCTAAATTTTTAACAACTGGACATCCAATTGTTCCAGCACCATTTGAGAAAGGACTGTATTTTGTCCATTGTATTGCCTTTGCTCTTTATCAGAGATTGGTTGACTATAAATTTTTAGATTTATTTCTAGGCTCTCTATTTTGTTCTATTGGTCTATTTGTCCATTCTTTCTCCAATAACACACTATCTTGATTACTAAAGAGTTTTAGTAGGTCTTGAAGCTAGATAATGTCAATCTTCCAACTTTGTCCTTCTTTTTCAATATCATTGGCTCCTCCGGATCTTTTCCCTCTCTGTATAAACTTAAGTGTTAGTTTTTTGATATCCATAAAATAACTCGCTAGTTTTTACTGAGATTGCATTGATCTATAGATCAACAGAAAATCTGGCATCTTGGGAAAAACTGGCACATTTATAATATTGAGTCTTCCTATCCATGAACATGAAATATCTCTCCATTTATCCAGATCTTCTTCAATTTTGTTTATAACATTTTTGTTTTCCTCATATATTTGATGTATTTTTTTAGCTTATACCTTTGCATTTCGTTTTTTGGTTATACTGTAAATGGTATTGTGTTTTTAATTTCAAATTCTTCTTGTTAATTGCTAGTGTCTAGGAAAGAAATTGACTTTGCATATTCACCTTGTATCCTGTAACTTTGCTACAACTGCTTAGTAGTTTCAGGACTTTGGTTGTTGATTCTTTCAGATTTTCTATAGAGAGACTATCATGTCATCTATGAACAAAGACAGTTTTATTTCTTCCTTCCCAATCTGTATACTTTTTATTTCCTTTTCATGCCTTTACTGCATTTTATAGGACTTCCAGTATGATGCTGAAACATAGTAATAAGATATCTTTGCCTTGTTCTTGATCTTAGTGCGCAAATTTAGTTTGTTGCCATTAATTATGATGTTAGCTTTAGGGGTTTTTTGGACAGTGTTCTTTATCAAGTTAAGAAGTTGCTCTTTTACTGGAAGTTGTTATAAATGGGTGTCAGATGCTTTTTCTGCACCTATTGAAATGAACATGCAATTTTTCTTCTTTAGCCTATTGATGTGATGGGTTACATTAAGTGATTTCCAAATGTTGAACCAGTCTTGCATACCTGGGCTAAATGGTTGTGTATATAATTGGTTGTGTATATAATTATTTTTATACAAAATTGGATTCAATTTGCTAATATTTTGTTGAGGATTTTTACATCTATATTCATGAAAGATATTAGTCTATAGTTTTCTTCTTTTATAATCTCTTTGCCTGATTTTTGTATTAGGGTAATTCTGGACTTACAGAATCAGTTAGGACATATACCCTCTGCTCCAATATTCTGAAAAATATAGATAATTGGTATGATTTCTTCCTTTAATGTTTGGCAGAAATAACCAGTGAATCCATCTGGGCCTTATGCTTCCTGTTTTGAGAGGTTATTGGTTATCAATTCCATTTCTTTAAGAGATATAGATTTATTCAGATTGTCTATTTCCTCTTCCGTGAATTTTGGCCACAGTGTGTCTTTTATGGAACAGGTCCATTCTATCTACATTGTTAAATGTGTAGGCATAAAACTGTCCATAGTACTCCTTTATTAATCTTTTAATGTATATGAAATTGTAGTGATGTCTCCTCTTTAATTCTGATATTAGTAATTTGTATCCTTTCTCTTCTTTACAGTTAGCCTGGTCAGAAGCTTCTTTATTTTATT